TGATCCTACGAGCTGCATAACAGATTCTAAAATAAATTGAACCATTCATTGAGGCAGGGGCCAACTCTCAATCAAGGGGAGATCCCCCCCAGGCCAGGAAAACACAAATAAATTGCTGTTGTGTTTATTATACTGACATTTTTAAAAAAAGATTAGAAAATTCAGCCATTATTATCCATGAGTAGCCTATATATGCACATGCAATAAGCCTAGGCCCTAGCCATCAAAAATATAAAATAGGCCTATGTACAATAATCTCACAGCAAGTGGAAACAAAACCAAACCATGTTCAAAAATTTGTGTGGCAAAATCTTAAGTTACATAACTTAGGCCTAAGTTAATCAGTAAAATGACCCCGTCGCAGCAAACCTGCAGACTAAGCGAATTTCCATTTGCCTGATTTGATTTAGACTAAAATGTCTCCTTAAAAATATCACATTTATTCCCTATTTAAATAGAATCAGTTTAACACATACTTAGGTTTGCTGCAACAGAGAGGGTAAAAGTGTTTTTTTATGTAAAATGTTAATAGTTAGTAAGAAATAAAAACATTTTCCAAATTTGGGCAAAATATGTTAATAAACAAGCACACTACAACGGTTTACTTATTCTCCATAAGAATAACATGGGAATTTTAAATTAACAATTTTTTGGAATTTTCTCCGTAACCATTAGGTGCATTATAACGCTTCAATATACTAAATTATTTGTTTTTTTAAGCTCTACAAAATAGTTTGGAAAGAAATTTCAAAATTTTATGTTTTTTGGGTCAAAAATGGGAAAAACCCATTTTTACCCCATAAAAGCCCCCATAAACCCCTGTTCCCATGGTCCGATCATGCTGGTTCGCGAACTCGTTCGAATAAACGTAGGTTTACACGTTTGTACCAAATTTCATCAAAATCGGATCATTTTTGCTCGAGTTATCGCGCTAACGGACACACATATATATATATATATATATATGAATTTGAACGGATGGTGTTTTTGGCCTCTAGGGACCTCAAAACGAAAAAAAAAATCGGTCCCGGGTCCAGGTCTTACCATGAGTACTACGGTAATAGCTTATTCCCTATATGGGAAATTCGCTAAAAAAACTTTTAACTTACTGCCCCTTTTGAAATTATCTAAATAAAAATTTGTAGGAAAAACAAAAGGAACAGCCAATAAGAAAAGTAAGTAAATGGATCATAAGAATAATAGGCATGGTACTTAATAACAATACTAAGAACGGTTTATAAGGGAGTATTATTTACTTACCAGCCCGGCAACAGTGTAGCGTAGTTGTAGGTCTAGGCCTGTCCTAACCTCCAGGCACAAGGAAACTTGGGTTTGAAACCTTCGATAATTTGCTCAAGATGATTCTTGATCAAATCTAAACCAAACTAAAAAGAATAACTCGACCTTTAGTCAAACGGGCAAATTCTCAAAAACAAATCGAACCGATTCCAATCCAAAGTCTTTCAGACCGTCACATTCACCAGATGAAGGAGAAGGAAGATGCCATGGATGAAGATTGAAGAAAGAAGATGAAGATGAAGTTCGTTCGTTCGTTGACAACTTTCAAAATTTCAAACACTAGAGTGGAGAAAAGAAAAAGAAAAAGAAACTAAAAAGGAGCAGCTATGTACAAAGAGGTTTGAATGGGGATTTAAACATCATACCTAAGGGAGCATGTTTTATTTGGCATGATCATACATGATTTGGCATGATATTTTTTGCGGGGTCGTGACTGGAATAAACCCAGCCAGATCCACACTTAATGAAAATCGTGCTGATTCCACTTCCCCATAGCACTCACGAAAACCCTGCTCAGCATAAGCCAGCTTTGATAGGTCTCAAATAAATAGATTAACTACATCTTATTCAACTCTAACTACTCCTCGCCATTGTGAAACGCCTGCAGCAACTTGCCCTAAACATGATATCGATAACCGTAAAGTTTAATTTAGTTACTTGAATTAATTTATTGTTGGTTGATCTTGGTCTAATTTAGAAAAAGATATGATTCCCCTTACCCCCCAAAAGATTAATTAACTACTTAGACATTATGGGTACCTTACTAACTGTAGAGTAGACCCAGGAGTCCTTTTGCGGTGTGTGGTACAAGCAAGACAAACCTGGTTGCCGGCGGTTGGTCCTTTCCGGCCGGAGCGCTAGTGTCGCTCCGAGTAGAACTGTCTGCTCGCCTTTGGATCAGCTGATGGGGTTGACTCTTACCTTATACCATAATTGTTGGCGGTGATGTGGGTTATCCCCACATTTTAGACATTCTTTAAATTACCAAGTGTCATGGAATGGATTTCAAATATGTTACTTGATCGTCTCCCACGGTAACGATGGAATCGGAAAAATGTCCTGCGGTCAAAGCGAATTCATTAACCCAAAGCATTTCCCACATTTTCACGGGAGTTCATTTCCCGTGGTTGCTACGAAATATTGTAGTCATTTTGCTTTGCGGTCTCGGTGATATTGTGATCGTCTCCTGCGATCGCGATGAATGGTTAAAATTTCCGTGGTTGTGGGTGTCATATATGAGAACTAACATCGGTAGTTAGAAATATGTGTGTGGGGGCTGCACTGCCAACATGCGATTTCAGCGGCAACTTCTCAACCCTCGCTCTCCTCACTCCTCAAGTCTACTACTTCAGGGCGGTTGCTTGAATGCTTGAATAAGTTCAAGTTGCTTAGTCCCGTAAGTAATAGTGGGCAAATTCTGCATGTCTCCTGTGGTCACAGAGGAGGAATCATGAACGTCTTCTGATGTCGTGGTAAAATCATGAATTTCTGCCGCGATACCGTACCGCTGGAATGTCCCCTCCTGCGATCGTTGGTGATATAGAGTGGACGTTATTTGAATCATGCATATCTTCTACATTCATGGAATCATCACCAATGTCTTCCATGATCGCAGTGAAAAAGTTACCGTGTCTTGAAATCGCGAAATTTTGTGGGGTTTCTGGGAACAACCTTTCGTTCCAGGAAAAAATCTCAAAAATAACCCGAACGATTTGATTAAAATGTAGTATGATATAGCCCTTTAAATTCTTAACAGAATGGTATAACTCCCATTTTTGTAAAAAATGTAAAAAGTAAAGTGTTTAAAAGGTATTGTTACTTTATTTTCGCATTAAAACACCATAAAATACATGATGAAAAATCTTATTAAAAAATCTGGTTTGATTAAAATTAGTATGGTTCTTCATCATAATTCTGAATCGTGTAAACTTCCGTGATTGTTTTAAAATTACGGTTCAACAAAAGTTTTTGTAATTTTTCATAAAAAATACCAGAGTTACTTCCACCGCTTACCCATGATAAAGGTTGTTGAGAAGCTAATGGTAGAAAGTTTTTATTTTCAAATCTGACACAGTTTATCCAGTGAACAATTGTAAAAATGAAGGCATGGTATTAAATAAATTAATGTAATATACCTCATCTTGTTAATATGACTGTAAAGGTTGGGGTTTTCTCCAGGTTGACGATAGCACAGTAAGTAACATCCAACATCCCTGGAGGCTCAGACCAGCTGTAAGTATGCAGATACAAAATCAGCAAAACATAGCATTTTGAATGCATATAAAATTAAAATAATGACAAATTATATAATCATAATAACTGTAATAAAAACTCTATTTAACCATTGGCTAAACTACATTCTAAGTGGATTCTAGTTAAGTCTGTGTCTAACACGCTCAACGTAATGGCGGCAAATTTATAGCAGACGGTTTTACAACAAAGATCCTGAATTCGGATTCCAAAAAATCCTACGGTTTGGATCTTACTTCCTTTTTTCTTTATTTTGGTTTGCCTATTAGTGGGCTTGACCAAGTACCATGCAGTCTAATATACTTGCATTTCGGGGGGAGGGGGGGTATACCGTAGATTAAATCTACAGTAAGGTACTTATCAAGATGTAGGTTAGTTAGTTATTAAGTCTAATTTATTTTAAGCAAACTTAGATGGCTAACAAGAGAAGTTGAAAATAACATACAATGCTAATACAAAACGATTACTAATATGGACATGGACTGTATAGGAATATTGAAATGAAAACATACAGTAACAACGGGTCGAGTTCCCGCAAGGCTCACGGAACTTAGCCGCAGTAGTGACAGTGACAGTACATGCATAACACGATTACAAGATATATGAGACGGTTCATCATAAAATAATTTGAAAGAACATGGGTGCAAGCTAATAATAAATGTGAATAAATACAAAAACTTTTACAAAACAATAATGATGACAGGACTGTATGATCTAGTTCGACAGCAATTTATATAATAAGGCAAGTCGTATTCTTCAAGGTTGAGCGGTCTAGTGAGATCAGAGTCAATAGCTCACCGACGAGAATCTTCCGAAGAAAGACCAAGTCGTGCAACTACTTTCTCACCAAAATGGGACTCCTTTACATCAGTCCAAGTTGATAGGGGGGCCATACGACACTTCCAAATTCCAGCACAGATCGAAACAGAGAAGTAAAAACACCGGTCTTCATGGCTTCAACACTTAAACCTCTCCTTGAAGTCCTTATGATGAATCCCAGTATCCGAGACGCGTTGACACAATTGAATTTATGTGAACGCCAGAGCTGAGGTTGCTAATGAATCTTATTATATTATAAAGTGCATGCCTTTTAAAATTAGCCCTCGCTGTTTTTTAAGAGTATTGCATTTGATGGTTGAAAATATTAACATTTCATTGAAACGACTGGGAATTTATACACCCACAATTATTGTTTAAAAATTTATTTATTTCACCCTGAGGAGATACAGCTCAGAAAATCATAGTGGAAGGAAAATACATTTTCCTTCCACCATGTCAGAAAATTTAAATGTGCGGAGTTGCATGCAATATATTAGTCAAGCGTTCTGAAAAACAGATTAAGAAAAAGATGACCAGACCAGCTGTCCAGACTCCAGAGTTCAGATTCAAAGTTCAAAGATAAACAGTTCCATTCCCGTTCCATTCCACTGAGCTAAAGTTCCATTCCAGTTGAGCTGTCTGTCAGTCTGTCGTCTGTCACTTCACTGTCTGTCTGTGTTGTGTTGTGTGTTGTTAGTTATTACGTTATCAGTCACTTCTAGCCTAAACCATAGATAAAACATACTCCCTTGTGTTGGTTTTGGTTAGTCTATGCCTAAACTATGCTAACACACAAAATGAAATAACCTTGTTCTTTATTATAACAATAACTTCTTCAGCCATTTATTCTAGTTTTTAACCTGCCAGCTGTCTATGTAATTTTCAAATAAATGGATGAAACATCCATGACTATTTCTGGTGAACCAGAAAGAATTCAAGATGATGATGATTTTTGTAGCGGTCCACTTACAGCTTACATAGAAAATCGGATGGCCATTCATGGGACAAATATATCTCAAGTATGTAGGTACTATAGGCATAGGCCTAGGTAGTTTTTTTACAATAAGTTTAGCCCTTGGGTTTACTACACCATATTGTTGGGTACAGTTTCAACTGGGCTATTATCGATTGAAACTATCAATTTGATTAGTAAACCTTCATTCGATTATTTCATAATCAGCAAATTTGGTTAGTTAGGTTAGGTTATGACAGTTTCCGTTTGTAACTGAATAGGCTAGTTTAAAATAGCAATTATTAATCAATATTTTCAATCGATAGTTTTAAACCGATATTAGCACAGTCCAGTTAAACAACTGTGACCTAAAACTGATTCACTGCTGTTATTTAATAAAGTAGTCAAGTACTTTATTGGTCATGAAATAGCCTAAGGTAAATTCCTAGTTTGCGGCCACAGGAGACTTTAGCTTAAAAAGGTTGTTAGGTTATGCAGAATTAATTCTAGATCACCAATGTTATGTTTTTATCCAAGTTGTTTTTTATTTTTATTTTTTAAACTTGATTTTATTTTTACATTTGCCACGTTTGACAGATGGACCTGTTTACATTTTGCCATGCCATGCACATCAGGCCTAAGTACATTTTGTATACAATTAGTAATTAAGCTAGCCTAGAACCTCTGTGTTGGTATATACACTGTAACTTATAGTTGCTTATAGCAATGTTTGAGAACACAGTATTGAACCATGGTCTTAAATTATTAGGTACTGTAGGTACTTAAAATAACAGCATAGTTCCCTAGTCCTCTATTCCATTGAATTTGAATGAAGAGTGAAGAAAAAAGCAGTTTATCCTTACCCTGTTTCCCTACACATTCCTGCCTCATCAATACAGCAAATAATTGCAGACAGACAGAGACAAACCCCATTAGGTACTTAGTATGCTTAACCCAAGAGTCAGGATAGAGTTTGTGTAATGCACAAGGATTGGTAAGGGAGTGGCGATTAGGACAAATGGAAGGCCATCAAAAGTTTCACTGTGGTGGAAGGGTTAGTGACCAGTCTGTCAGTTAAATTTCTGACCCCGGCAATGTCCCTGCTATAAATCAGATGCTTAAGATCGTCTGTATGGCAAAGGATAGTTGACAATGCAAGTGACCCAGACACGAACCCTGGCACAATACACCCAAATCTCTGCACTGAGTTGGAACCTTTTTTGAAGCACTATTTAGCATATGGTTTTTAAACCTGACATATTTAACTCTCGTTCAATCTGGAGAGAACGGAACGGGGTGTCATTTAATAGGTAACTTGTATTTTTACATTCGTAAGTCCAGTCCGTGACTGTCAAATTGGGCACAATGCTTAACCATGTAATTTGTGAAAAAAAAAGAAAAATAATCTAAACAATGAGTATGATTTTAGTTATATCTAAAAATAACAGTTTACAAAGCGGTAACTTTTAACTTACTTTTTATAATGGTCACTTTTAAAAATAGACTGCTAGTTGCCTCTAGAACTGCATACACTTTTTGTAAAAGTTGTTTTTGTTATTGCAGTTTACTTCTAAAAATTTGTCTACCCCACAGTGCTTGCTTCTTTTTTTAGGGGTTGAATTTTATCTTCTTATGTTCTGTATTTTTAGGTAGATGGTGTATCTTCTGCGAGTAAAACATTTACTGAAGTTCTCCGAGAATCAAGATTACTAGGAAATGCTCTGCTGCAATTGGGAGTGTCAAAGGGAGATACTCTTGCTATTTCTTGTGAAAACAGGCTGGAATTTAGTGTTGTGATGCTAGCAAGTTTACTGAAAGGCTTTATTTTTGCTCCATTGAATCCATCATACAGTAAAGGTAGTGTGCAATTTAATTAATGCAAAGTATAGCTTAATCTACATAGCTCAATTAGGCTGAAAATTAACAGGACATATTTAATTCAATCGTAAATCAAAGATGAGTGTGGGAATTGTGTTAAAAACCAAAATGTCCTTTGAACCTTATTCCTAATTGTAGAGGCCCTTTAAGGTGTGTTTTCCTCCAACTTCAGTAACTGTGCTGCGTGCTACGCGGTTAAGCTAAAGAACGCAGTGCGGTCAGGATCAGCGCGGTTTACAATAGGACGCAGCGTAAAAGTGTTTTCCTACAAATCTACCAATGCGTTGCATGACTATTAAAATTTGCTGAGTTCCACAATAGGGTTTTGTTATGGATTATCGATTAAAATGTCCCGATTCTATGTTGATGGTCGAAGAGATAGAGATGAATTCAAATGTCCTAACGTGGAAAATTGTCTGTTTGGATTTAGTATTCTTGTTGATAGACACCTGATAGCCAAAGAAGTAAAATTTAAGAAATAGTTTAATTTAACTAATTATCAGTTTCCTGCTTTATCGATTTGGTACATATTGATATAACTTCGAAGCCAAGAAACATAATGGAACAGAACTTCAAATTTAGACACACAGTCCATTAATAAACTGTCGACATCTACAGTGAACACAGTAACATCACTCAAACTATTTTCCTTCATACTTCTAATGTAAAGAATAGCCCATTTCGGCAGTGTGGTTAACAACTGACTGCTTTTGAAGCAGTGCTCCCAATCACGCTGCGGGCTTTGTGCTGTGTAGCTGGCAGTTAGTCACGCACCGAGTCGCTAGGAAAATACTCCCATTGGTTTCAAAGGGATCGGTGGCTCCAGCAACCACGTAGCACGAAGCACGCTACGTGCACAAATAACTGGCTTAACCGCGTCGCGCATCGCTAAGAAAACACAGCTTTAGAAACACTTCATGTTACTTTATTATTTAAAGGATTTTTGGGGGTTAACACTGTCCATTTATTTTTCAGCAGACATTTAATAAAAATCGGGACCGCCTGTACATATCTATCTCAGTACATTCATTAAATCAGACAAGCTTAATAACTCAGTTTTGATATTCAATGTCTTAATATGCTCTTGGATTCTCCTTTTCACAATTTAAATCCATGTGTGTAGCCCCTGAGCTGTGGGACATAATGTAAGACTAAATTACTTACGTATTCCCGTCACAGCTCAATAAAATATGTCTGTTTAGGACATGTTTCGGTGTTAAAACACCATCGTCAGCTTCAGGTACATATATAGAGTTGATCAGTAGTTGACATCGTCAGAATAAACACAGTATGAACACGAATAAATACAAAAAACAATTAAACATTTAAGAAACAGGCCTGTTCTAACCACTGAGCTATAATTCTAACTGGAGGTAGCACTGAATGTCAAAGATGCGTGTCGCCAGCCGCCATGTTTGCGTGAGGTGGGTGTCCATAAGAAGCCATATTATTGCTATAACTATTATTATACTTGGCTTAAAATACCTACTTTGTATGGTCACCATTTCAAAGAAAATTATTAAAGTATTAAAAGTATTCAAGTATGACAAAAATACTCACTGCTATACCAACCTAGTTATAAGAAGCCATGTTATTGCTATGGTAAGAAAACTTACTGCTATACCAACCTAACAAAATCAGCGACTCGCTTTTGACAGACTTCTGCCATGGCAGTGCTACCTCCAGTTATAATTTTAGCTCAGTGGTTCTAACAAAAGATGACTAACCGCACAGGTAGCAAGGGACAGACTAGACCAGCTTATGCTTAAGCTACAACAATTAGTCACAGAAGAAACCAGGAATGATGTAGAAAAAAGTCTTTTGTAGGCCTATTTCATTTTATCATCTGAGTATTAATATTGGGTTTGTGTTAAATCCTCTGCATCATACTGGTAACTTTGGTGTGTTCTTGTACTATTATATTTATTAAATTAAAAATTTCTAGCTGCTTTATCCGTTCTTTGTAATACCCAAGATATGTAATTTTAAACCTTGACTCATTGATAAAACTTGTTTTCAGATGAAATCGTGCATGTCTTAAACATTTCCAAGCCAAAAATCATATTTTGTTCTGGATACACGTTTGCAAATGTAAGTTCATCAGTGTCTCAGTTACAAGATATAAAACACATTGTGCTATTTGACAAGGCAAACAGTACTCTTCCCTCATATCCTATCCCAGTAATTTTGTTTAATATCCTGCTGATAAACAGTCCAAGTCTGGCTGATATCTCTCCTGGACCAAGACCTGAAGATGGTGATGTGGCAACCATACTTACATCCAGTGGCACCACCGGACTTCCCAAAGGCGTAATGCTTTCATTTGGAAATTTAAAATATTTTTACAACAGCTCGGTGTAAGTATGAATGTATTTATTTACTTGATCCTAATTCTTTTTCAGTCATGTAAGCCCAAGGATAAGCATTCCTCATAGATTACACCAGTTTCTCTAGTTTTAGAGTTTCTTTAAATTTTTAGAAACAATTAATTTTTCTTGATTTTTTTTCTCTTAAGTCAAATCATACCTATTCACAACATGCACACATGAGAATAGTGTCAAATCAAAACTTAATACTATGACTAAAAGCGCGTTTATATTAATTCGAGCTCGCATTCGTGCTCGAACAAGTGTCAACCACAAATTTACTCGCATGCTAGTAGTGGAATGCGAGCATGAATGACATTTTGCCGTTCAAGTTACTTTCCAACATGTTTGTAAATGCTCGCACGCTTGCATACGATATCTTTGTAAAGCCAGTTTGTGAGAATGTAGGTGTGGTGGAAAAATGATGTTTCTGTTTGTTTATAGCTTTCGTGTTTACTACTTAGATAAGTGATGGCTAAGTTAATAATGTATGTTAAATTTATTTATTTTTTATTAAATTTTTTTCCCCACAGATCACCAAAATACCAAATTAATTTCACTCATACTACTTATACATACTATATACAGGGTGGCTGAAAAGTAACTTGCACCCCCCTTAACTTTTCAACCATTTGAGATACTTGAAATCGGTTTGCGGCAACCTTCTTAGATATGAGGGGCTACAATAATTATGGTCAATTTTGAAAATCTTTCCCTTAGAGTTCCCTTAGGGGTAGCGGGGGTAGGGGGTAGCTCAAAATTTTCAAATGACAAGTATAGTCGAGTTTGGTATCATTTTACAGGTCTTGACGAAACTTGACATTTATTGTCATTGACATAAATAAAACCAAAATCACAGTTCAAAATTACTTTAAATAACCATTGTCTCAATCATTTTTAGCTGCCGTTTTGTTATTAATGGTCCGATTTATATTTTCTTTATCTTATTTGTTATGTTTCCTCAAGACCTGTAAAATGATACCAATCTCGACTATACTTGCCATTTGAAAATTTTGAGCTACCCGCTACCCCTAAGGGCAAAATTTTCAAAACTGACCATAATTATTGTAGCCCTTCATATCCAAACAAGTTGCCGCAAACCGATTTCAAATATCTCAAATAGTTAAATAGTTAAAGAGGGTGCAAGTTAATTTTTTTGTCACCCTCGTGGTTATTTGGATTTGAAACGTTTTAGGGCGCCATTTTGTTATTAGTGAGCCAATTTTGGGTTTTTTATGTCAATGTTTATGTTTTGTCAAGACCTGTAAAATGATACCAAACTCGACTATACATGCTATTTGAAAATTTTGAGCTACCCCCTTACCCCCTCTACCCCTAAGGGTAAAATTTTCAAAATTAACCATAATTATTGTAGCCCCTAATATCTAAGAAGGTTGCCGCAAACCGATTTCATATATCTCAAATGGTTGAAAAGTTAAGGGGGGTGCAAGTTACTTTTCAGCCACCTTGTATATACTTATACAAACATATTATACATCCCTACACAGGTCTTGAATATGTTCACTCATTATACATACTAAAAATAAACTTGTCACACAGCAATCACTTAAGAAAAAAAAATCACTTAAAAGAAAGCCGAAATAATAATATATGTTTGCATTACAATGATAGGTTAATTAATAAACCAATGGAAGTTAGCAGAGTCTTTAATGATTTCTTTGTTAATGCAGTGGAGAGATTTGTGGTTCCCAATATTCCCCCACTGCAACTGGAAGTTCCTCCTCTAAAAACTAATAGCCTACTAAATTCAGATTCACACCAATTACAGAAGAGGAATTACTGAAGGTAATTTCTTTATTTGACAATAAATATTCTACTGGTATCGATTGTATTCCTATGACCCTTATAAAAAAATCTTCGCAATTTTTACTTAAACCCCTAGTTCATCTAATTAATTCATCTTTCATCTCAGGTCATTTCCCAGACAAATTAAAAATTTCAAAAGTTATCCCTATTTTTAAAAAAGGTGACCATAAAGATATAACTTGTTATAGACCTGTTTCATTGCTATCATCCTTTTCAAAAATATTTGAAAAGATAGTATACAATCAGTTAGTAAACTTTTTAGAATCGAATAATTTGTTAGATAAAGAGCAGCATGGTTTTCGGCAAGGGAAGTCCACAATAACTGCTGCAGTTGAATTTATTGAAAACGTAATTGATGCAGTTGATAAGGGTGAAAAGGTGGTGGGTATTTTCCTTGACCTCTCCTGTGCTTTTGACAGTGTGGCACACCCTGTTTTAATTGATGGATTAAAATCACTGGGTATTCAAGGAAAGGAGTGTGCTTGGTTTTCCTCTTATTTATGTAATATGCATCAGTTTGTTGAAATAAAATATCTAGATTATGGTAATTATTGTAATTATTTAAGAAGCTATTTCTGTGAAGCTCAGGTGATTAAGTATGGAGTACCTCAGGGATCCATCTTGGGTCCATTACTTTTTTTGTGTTACCTGGATGGTCTGCCTAAGAGTACCAGCTTCAGTTCGATGTCACTATATGCAGATGATGCTAATTTAATTGTTAAAGGAAATTCCAGTTCTGATATTGAGCTCTCAGCCAATTTGGACTTAATGAGTATTCAAATTTTTTTAAATCAAAATAACCTTCTATTAAATACAAGCAAATCAATGACAGTAAGTTTCTCCACAAAACAAAATAAAATAGCTCTGGATCCAAAAATCAAAGTTGGCAATAACATAATAAATAAAGCAAATCAGACAAAATTTTTAGGACTTTTCATTGATCGAAATCTATCTTGGAATGATCATGTTGATAATGTAGTGAAAAAGATGTCATCAGGAATATATGCACTGTGGCAAATGTCAAAAATATCTGACCTTACAGTGCTGAAAACAATATATTATTCTTTAATACACTCTCATCTGGCATACGGAATTTGTATATATGAGCTACCTCAATATATAATTTGGACAAAATTCTGATAAAACAAAAAAAAAAACAATACGAATCATGTTAGGTTTAAAAAGCACAGAGAGTGTCGAAAACTTCTTTAAAGATCTTAAAATTTTTGACAGTTTACAGTCTTTATGTCTTAGAAACAATAAAGTATGTCAAAGAACATGAAAGTGATATATTTTTTGAATCCAAGCATCATTATGATACCCGAAATAAAATTATTTTTGATAAACATAATCTGAATTTTTATAAAAACAAAACTAAATATATGGGCACCAAATTTTTCACTCAGTTGCCAAATTTAATTAGAAATGAGCAAAATTACAATAAATTTAAAAACTTGCTGAAAGAATATAGTAAAGCTCTCTATTCTTTTTCAGAGTTTCCTTAAATGATGGCTCCACTACTGGTTGCCTGGGTTTTATATATAGTTTTAAATATATTGTATTTTAGCATGAAAGTATGTGATTTTTAGTTATATGTGACTCTATTCTGATGCTGCTATGTATTCATACGAATAAAGTTTATTTTGACTTTGACTTTGAAGACTAATGTGATCGTTGATTATGAATACTTAACTTTTGCCTTACAACTACATTACTTGCGACTGCTACTATTATTCCAGTAACAACTACAATGTAAACGCTGCTGAAATTCGATCCGTCATTCGATACTGGAATAGTAACTCGCTCGCTATCGCATTCCATTAACTCGAATGTGAGCTTGATTTAATGTAAACGCGCCTTAAGAGTTAAAAAAATCCTCAAACGAGTATAGTGGTATGTGAAAAAAGTATTTTTCTTACAAATTAAATTTATTGTTGCGATTTTCAGTTTTTAACGTAGTAGGAAGTCTATGTAAGAACTTTGATCCAATATATGAAGGTTTTTTTATAAATTGCTAATACATGGTGAGTGTGTATGACAGTACTTTTATTTTGCATGTTATATTGGTGACACTGCACAATGTTCTGTTTTATTCTATTTAGTTTGTTATATTCTGTGTTTGTTGGTTGTATGCAGGGGCAATGTCACATGTTTGTGTATGTGGCATATTTTAATTTATTTAGTTGTTTACATCCTACACTCATCTTCATTCATACTTGGCTTAATGTACCTACTTTGTATGGTTACCATTTCAATGAAAAGTAAAGTATAAAGTATTAGTTATTAGTTAGTAACCATGTGTATTTTAATTACCTATTGATAATTTACAATGAATACAACCCCTTAAGAAGCAAAATGCTTATGGAGAATAGTCAGACTGGAATTTCGCTGCCGAAAGAGCTTTGCACGGCCCCCGCTAGGATCGCTTGCACTACTCTATCCCTCTCTCTAAGCCGATTCTTTGTCTCACTCTCCCTCATTCAGTCAGCTGACGTGGCCCTCTTGGCCGCGCGCTCGGATAGTCTACCTAGGGGCCGCCTCAACTATACAAAATTCAAATACTTTCAGACTGAATTTTTAACAAAGGCATTGCGCTTCTTAAAGGGTTTGTATTCATTGTTATCTTCCTAAATGATATAGTATGTCTTCACAGAATTGTTCAACATTAAAACCAACTAATATTCTTTTTGTCATCTTATTAAAAGCTTTAGCCACACTTCTAAATTGTCCATACCAAACAAAATTACCTAAATTTAAGTTTAATGTTTTAGGTCCACTTTCTTGAGCTGGAAACCAGATGACGTTGTTCTAGGCCTTATACCTTTGTACCACGGGTATGGGTTTGGAATGTTGCTATGTTCATTCCTTTTTGGAGCTAAAATGGTCTTGCTTCCTAAATTCCAAGAGGAGCTATTTTTATCTACTATTCGTAAGTTCAAGGTTTGTATTATTTTTTTACTGTGATACCTGTTAATTCTGAAGCTTTTATTCTCATTACTATAACAGTAGGCTTCTAATAGGCTTGGAATAATAATTTAGTATCTTACTTAATCTGCAAAAATTCCAAGACACCTCTTTAAAACAAACTGGCATAATATTAACAAGGTATTATTCTTAATACTTGTAGTCTTCTGGGTCCGACCGCGTTCACAAGGTGCAAAACTAGTGATAATTCAAGAGTTATGCAGTATCAAATAAAATATTTATTCAACTAGGCTACTTTTTTGGTTAATTTAGTAGGCCTAAAATATTATTATTACGGCGGTTAACTCTGGTAACGTCGTAGGATGAAGGTCATATAAGCGAGAAGGCTGCGTCACATTCCTTAGGAGTTTGGAGGGGTTGACACATCACGCTGGGCATTGGGGCTGGCATTTCCTGTCGTCTGAAATGTTCTAGTTGTTTGTGTTGTAATTCCTTTGCATCTGTATGATTCTTTTCAGTACAACTGTATTTCAGATTTGAATACAGTAGTACCAGTAATAAGAAATTTGAAATACTGTTGAATTTTGAAAAGAATCCTACAGGCACAAAGTATTCACAACACAAAGAACTCGAACATTCCAGAAGACAGGAGACGCCAGCCCCAATTCCCAACGAGATGTCATCAACCCCTCATTTTCCGACCTCGGCTTCGCCTCGATCGTAAACTTGAGCTCGGGTCAAAAAGAGTCACTTTAGGCCCTAGTGATGAAATATACTATAGTGTTTTGATGTAGAAAATATGCATAAGTGGCTTAGGGAGTTCACAGGAGGCCGTTTACATTCGCTCAGTTTGGTTGGCAGCAGGTGTTCATCAGTTTCCATTAAGACAGTAATTGAAGTTGAGGAAAATTTTGCTAGCTGATTAGCACGCGCCAGATTTCCAGGGCTGACCATAAACCTTGATAAACTCTCTTGTTCAATTTCACCGTGATCCTAGTGCAAAATTCCCCAAACTTTGGTCACTGCTTCAACCAAGACACATGAATAAAGTCATCCAGCTTACGCCATGGAAAACATTGTGCAAATGTTCAAGACACCCTCCGACCTCTCTCCATTCATGCACATGTTTACTTCATCCAAACACTATAGGCTACTTCATTCAAATGCATTAACTGGTGGTGTACTTTAATATTGGTTGAGGACTGAGAACAACAAATCTAATCAAAGTATGCAATTCAATCTCGGCAGGAGTGTCAATTTTTTTTTCAATGTTTTGAAATACTATTATGAGAATAATTGTCCAATAGGGTCTGACAATGGTCAGAATAGTAGTGGATGAAGTAAGGAACTCATTGTTGGTCTCAGATATTAACTAGCTAGTTTGGCTGTGACAGGAGCACAAAGGACACCTTAATTTACGGACAACCCTTGTAGTTTAAAGCTTGTGACATTTTGTTAGAGAGAAAACTAAGAGCTTTTGATGGAAAGTGCTGGTTCCAACCCCTCATATTGTTTTGGAATGGCAGAAATAAAATCCATCCCTATTGCACAAAAGTCCAAGACGCTAAAAACTAGGCGATATAAACACATGCCGTCTTCTCTTTCCCTCCTAAATTGAAATATTTGTTTCCCTTAAAAAGATTATTATTGTTGTTGTTTTATTGTTATTTTCATTATTAACTCGTTAGTTTGTGATATACCATTAGGTATTTACGTGTAGATTACCAAGTGTGTATTGTAAATCACTGACCTCACAATTTCTGTTTTTATGACAGGTAACCAGTCTCAGCCTTGTTCCTCCATTGATGACATTTTTGGCAAAGCACCCTCTAGTGCCACAATATGATCTGTCTAGTGTTCGAGAGGTAGTCTGTGGAGCAGCCCCCCTCAGTGTAGAAACAATCCATCAGGTACTATCCTGCACGCACATATATATTTATTTACACAAAAGCTGGTGTTTCATACTTTGTAGAAAAGGTAATGAGGAAATGATCATTATCATGTTGTTATTTTGATGCTATATTCAGCTGTCGAGAGCAAGTGCAATAAATAACTTTTTCCTACAGTCACCCAACACAGTGGGCTTCTTTGCATAATACAGAAAGCTGCTAATTGCTGCATTGACTTACTTTAGCACACACTTTTTACGTTGTGGCACAGTTTTCACTTCCAACCAAACAACACAAAACAGCGTGCTTTTATGATGCACGTAATCTGTGTATGCTTGGAAATAGGTTGGCAACACTTAAAGATACTACGACTACTGTACGATCAGCAGGTGCAGCGTTTCCTATTTCCTTCAATGTTTGGATTTAACCTAACCTAAAAACGTGTTGTGTTTGAAAGACTAATAATTATGTATATGATTTATAGTAACTTTTGGAAAAATATGTGTAACGCTAGTGCAAACTGCTATTGCTGCACTCGAGAAACCTTCCACACTCGCCTACGGCTTTTTTCTCTCGTGTGCAGCAAAGTGCCACTTCGTCCACTAGTTACACAAATAATTATTGAAGAATGTTGTGCTTTCTCTCTATACATCACACACTATTAAAAACTCAACTTTAAAAAACACCAAAATAGCTTTCCTTTAGTCAGGGATAGCAAGTGATGTAGTTTCATTACTGCTATTCAATCCCTGAATGTAGTGTTAACCACTGTAAAACAAGTGTGAAAATGGCAGTTGCAATGAATGTTTTAAAAATATATTTAAAGAAATTTTGACTATCTTTTAAATCAACATTAAAGTTTTTATATTTTTCAGAATTTTTGTAAAGTTTTTGTTTATTGAAGTAATAGGTATGTAATGTCTAAAAAGAATAATTTGTTAGGTGAAAGCCAGACTACCGAGGGCCGACTTTCGTCAAGGCTATGGCATGACAGAGTTGTCTATTGTCATAAGCATCACACCACCACACTCCACTAAACTAGATTCAGTGGGCAAACTGGCTCCGGGTCTCCAGGCAAAGGTAGGAGGATCAAATCATGCTATATTGCATGTAACAATTATAAATGCTTAAGTATGCATGTAAACTAGACTCAGTGGACAAACTGGTTCCGGGTCTCCAGGCAAAGGTAGGAGGATCAAATCATGCTATATTGCATGTAACAATTATAAATGCTTAAGTATGCATGTAAACTAGACTCAGTGGACAAACTGGTTCCGGGTCTCCAGGCAAAGGTAGGAGGATCAAATCATGCTATATTGCATGTAACAATTATAAATGCTTAAGTATGCATGTAAACTAGACTCAGTGGACAAACTGGTTCCGGGTCTCCAGGCAAAGGTAGGAGGATCAAATCATGCTATATTGCATGTAACAATTATAAATGCTTAAGTATGCATGTAAACTAGACTCAGTGGACAAACTGGTTCCGGGTCTCCAGGCAAAGGTAGGAGGATCAAATCATTACTTTTGATTGTGTGAACTTGTATGTGTGTATTGGGAAGTAGATAGGTTATCTTTTGAGGGGAGGGTGATTGGACGATGGGAGGGGGAAGGGTCCACTAATTGTCTAATATAGTATTACATTCACTTACCATTAAGTCCTCCAGTGTATCTATTATTCCAAAATCATTTTTTTCTTCTAAAATAACTTTTTTCCTTCATCACTTTTTTTTTAATTATAAATATATATAATAAGACTCTCTTCCACACAGAGAGGTATTCCTTCTTTGTGGAAGATATTTCGCTAATTTAAAAAGTTTTTTTATATTTTATGTTTATATTAAATTTTATATTATTAAAAAACTAAACAATATTGTAAACATTTTTGTATGGGACTAACATGATGTAATTTGTAAATATTTTGGCGGAATAAATGCTATTTTGATTTGATTTGCTCTATTGCATGTGGGTCATTCCATGTCAAATCAACTAGGCTCTCAACCTGACCATCTTGGATTTTGATAAAATTTTGCATACTTGTAGTATTTTGAGTCCTGAATCCAAATAAGCTTTTTAAAAAAATCTATCTTTTATAGTTTTTATGATATAAATATTTGAAAATGGTAAAAATTGGTGTTTTTTACCGTGCGCGCAAATCTAAAATATTGTCTAGGATGAGTTCTATTGGTCCTATCAAGTTGTACAATGGCTCATTTTAAAGAGGATTCAAATGCCTTTAATCTGATACCAAACTCAACCTACTTTGGTAAAAATTAATTTTTTTTTGAAAATTTCAAAATATGTTTTTGAAAAAAAATTTAAGATAGTGTTTTTTTAAAAATTTGAAAATTACATATGTTAATGAATGTAATCTAGTAAGTACATTATAAAAATTTCAAAATGGGATGATATTGGGATCAGCAGTTATGATAAAAATACTTGACTATAGTTCACTGTTTCCAAGCATTTTGGCGCATAAAGCGTGTAAGTACTAACCTAAATGTATCATTAAATAAGAGTCTATTAATTATATGATTAAAATTAAAAATATCTGCCTATATTTGAATTGTGTATGTCATATTATGCTATAATTTAAACTAAATCTAGCAAGCAAACAACATTATTCAAGTTAACAGAGTTTCCGTCAACCTTTGAACATGGGGGCTACTTTGAACAAACTTTGCACATTTCATATTTTATATTTTTTCATATTAATTTTATCTTTAAATGATAATGTTTATTATAATTTTCTATTCCCAGATAAATACTCTACTTAAAAAAAAATATATTTAATAGTGCATACTATGGTTCTACAAAAAATGAAAAATACTTATTTTTCACTGTCATTTTTTAGTAAAAAAAGTCGTCCAAACTTCCATGGCTACAGCAAACCCAATAAGTTTATGATTTATGACTTAACATAATTGAATAGCCCATTTATCTGGGATTAAGAAAATACCTGCTTTGATTACTTTATAAGCAGTAATAACTTTAAAAAAAAAAGAAAGAAAAATTACCCGATTTGCTGACCCTTACTTATGGCGTCGCGACCCTTAGTTCTGGAGCAAAATTTCCCGGACATGAAAAAAAAAATAAATAATTGGGTTTTAAGTGTTATTTTTTAAAATGAATTTTCTAATGAAAACAGATGTTTTGAGCTTTTATTATTAGCAGCCATAATTCAATTCCTTTATTTGACTGCTATGATATTTAAAAAATAGGCTACCCTTGCAAAGTTAAAAAATAACCGGACGGACATTTTGAAAATTCTTTGTAACTTTTTAATTTTTGACACATCAAAATAGAAGTTATACAGAAATGTGGTTTGTGGTATTTAAATCCACAAATCAGTTTTCACTATAACAATTTTAGTTGTTAAAGTGAGAATACATTATTTATACTTGAGCAGACATTTCCCCAAAACTAAATAATTATCATAGAATATTATCTATGTATCAATAATAAGGTTACTACAGGATTTAAATAGATTGATCACAGTATATTGTGTGACAAAATTATCAATGCTTGTTTGTCTCTCTCTCTTGTCACGAGAGGAAAGACAGACAAACATGGACCTATGGGTTTTGGCTCAGGTTCCTCAGTATTTTCCAGTTGTGTTGCAACGATTTACTGTAATTAATCTTTAAGTCTGCCTTTTCACTAGGCTGGAGACACTAGTCAGCCACTAGATCTGTGCAAAATCACATTGTGAAGCATTTTACGTTTACACTATCAGGTCGCAGCGACCCACCTCGGCAGTAGCGACCCGGTCTTGAGAAGTTGTAATTTGTTTGACAGGTACACAGGTCTAACTTATGTTTGTCAGTCTTTCCTCTTGTCTCAAGACCGAGTCGCTACAGCCGAGGTCGCTGCAACCTGATAGTGTAAACGTAAAGTGCTTCACAATGTGGTTTTGAACAGATCTAGTGGCTGACTAGAGTCTCCAGCCTAGTGAAAAGGGAGACTTACAGATCGTTGCAACACAAACTAACTGGAAAAGACTGAGGAACCTGAACCAAAACCCATTGGTCCATGTTTGCTTGTCTTTCCTCTTGGGGCAAGAGAGAGACATGTCAAACGAGCATTGATAATTTTGTTACACAATTTACTGTGATCAATCTATTTAAATCCTGTAGTAACCTTATTATTGATACGATACATAATATTCCATGATATTTATTTAGTTTTGAGGAATGTCTGCTCATAAGTATAAATTTAATAATGTATTCTCACTTTAACAATTTAAAACGGACGGAAACTCTGTTAACTTGAATAATGTTGTTTACTTGCTAGATTTAGTTTATATTATAGCATAATATGACATACACAATTCAAATATAGGCAGATATTTTTAATTTTAATCATATAATTAATAGACTCTTATTTAATGATACATTTAGGTTAGTACTTACACGCTTTATGCGCCAAAATGCTTGGAAACAGTGAACTATAGTCAAGTATTTTTATCATAACTGCTGATCCCAATATCATCCCATTTTGAAATTTTTATAATGTACTTACTAGATTACATTCATTAACATATGTAATTTTCAAATTTTTCAAAAAACACTATCTTAAATTTTTTTCAAAAACATATTTTGAAATTTTCAAAAAAAATTAATTTTTACCAAAGTAGGTTGAGTTTGGTATCAGATTAAAGGCATTTGAATCCTCTTTAAAATGAGCCATTGTACAACTTGATAGGACCAATAGAACTCATCTTAGACAACATTTTAGATTTGCGCGCACGGTAAAAAACGCCAATTTTTACCATTTTCAAATATTTATATCATAAAAACTATAAAAGATAGATTTTTTTAAAAAACATATTTGGATTCAGGACTCAAAATACTACAAGTATGCAAAATTTCATCAAAATCCAAGATGGTCAGGTTGAAAATAATTTGTTATTGGTTGATTTCATATGGAATGACCCATGTAGCAAATGTAAATGCATAAGTATGTATGTAAACTATACTCAGTGGCAGTGGCGGGCGCTTCCATTAGGACCAAGTGGGCCGGGCCCACCCAAAACAAACAGTAAATTATATTTTTAAATACTTAATAGGTTATTTGGTTGATATTATTCAATTAAATGTGATATAAATTAATTTTGAACTTTCAACGGGTCACAACTTTTGTTGAAATACAATGCAATCATCTCGTAACACATTGAAGGGCCACGGATTTCGGGCCCTTCTAGCCACCATAAGAACGTAATGGACAAGGTAGTGCCAGCCGGCGGTGCTTGACTATCAGTGAACTATGCATTGGTAAATGGCCTGGTGGGCAGATTTGAGCTGGCCCACTGGACGTTGATTCTCAATATTCTCACTGGGAGTGCTGAGTGCTAGAGTAGCTTTGTTTACATCCCGCCGTGTATGTTGTACACCAACCGGAAAGCGGGTGGTAGTTGTAATATTTTATGAAATCATAAGTTAATACCTTTAGTAGTTTTGTAATATTATTCGTACAGAGAACGTTTTTGTGATCATAAATTGAAAGGCGTGATGGGGATGTTATTATTAATGCAATATTATAAAAAAATGCAGTTTTTGCCATGATTTTAAAAGTTAAAGTAGAAAATAACATACAACTTTTAACCAACCCAACTTCTAATCAGGTGCTTCAAATGATAAAAACCCAGTCTAATTTATGTAAAAAATTTCAAAAAACCTATTTTCAAAATTCCATGACCCCCAAACCCCCCGGATTGATCCCACCCTGCTGTTCAGGTAAAGCGCCGCCACTGCTCAGTGGACAAACTGGCTCCGGGTCTCCAGGCAAAGGTAGGAGCATCAAATTATGCTAAATTGCATGTAGCAAATATAAATGCATAAGAATATGTAAACTAGAGGAACCTATGAAATATCACACAAAAATTAAATCCAATTTTTCTTTCTATTAATGAAACTATTTAGTTTGTTAATATTTTTAATGTATTAAAACATTGTTATAATTCACTGCTTATAAATTCTCTTTTAATACTACATTGGTGTTGTATGGATATTATTTTCACTGTTAGGTAATAATATCTCTTATAAACCCCCTTCTTGCTATGGTGAGGTGCAGGCTTTGGAAGTTTGAAAGGGCCCACTGCTCTCTCACACATGTTTGATTCTGTTTATAGATATTGGATGTAGAGACAGGCAAGTGTGTAGCGCGAGGGCAGCCTGGTGAGATTGTTGTGAGAGGACCAGCTGTAATGGTCGGATACTGCAATGATCCTACGGCTACCAGGCTCACTATAGACTCTGACGGGTGGCTGCACACAGGAGATGTGGGATATGTCGATGACGAGGGCTTCTTTTACATCATTGACAGGATAAAAGAGCTCATCAAATACAACGGGTATCAGGTAATACATCGAGGAATACATTTTTACTGTAAGATTGTTTTAGTTAATCAAATCAAATAAAACTTTATTGTCACAAAAACGTTCTTAGATAAAAAAAAAACCATGGTTATAAAAGAGGGGGCATTGTCAAATTATAATATATTGTTGGTAATTTTACCATTGAACTTGGATACTGAAGTAGATCTCCCATCTATATGGACAAGCTTTAGTCATCAGTTCAGATCCTGAGAACTTTTTGATGGTTCAAAACTGGACCCAGATGTCCCCGGTCATCGGGCTTTAAATAAATAAATAATGCTGGGTAATGAACAGCTGGTTTTAGTTCAAAGCTACACACCTAGCCAGCCTCCCCATCTCAATTGATAATGATAATGAGAAAGAAGTCCTGTGTAATATCCTCAAAAATGCTATTTCATATAGCAGGTGTCGCAACGAAGAGGTTGCTATCATTGAATTGATGCACATGTTTTATCGAAAAACTCCACAACTACAACAATTACATATAATGAATCAAGTAGGTTGTACAGTGTTTAAAAGACTAATCATTTATATGATTTATAGTAACTGTAGGAAATATATAATGTGTACTGACTTTGCCCACTAGTTACACAAATAACTAATGTTTTGGATATACTTTATTTGTGTTGCAAATTCCTGTAGGTAGCCCCAGCTGAGCTGGAGTCTCTGTTGATGGGATTAACAGGAGTTAGAGATGCCGCAGTGATTGGACTTCCAGATGTTACTTGTGGTGAACTCCCATTGGCTTTTGTTGTTCTTCAACCTAATGCTGCTTTAACTGAATCCGATATAATTGGTTTTGTCAAAGGTAATTATTCAATCTATTAACTTAAGTTCCTTAAATGAATTTTAAAGTAGTTTACGAGCTATTGGACATCTCTTGAGAATGTGCATGCATAAAATAATAAAGAAATCCCCAAAAGTTGCTCTTAACTCTTATATTGTGTGGCGATCATTAACTTTAATTAATCATTGACTTTGGATTCTGTAATTGACATCCTTTCTATGACCATCTGTAGCGAGTTGTTTTCTCAAAGATAATAAACAATGTAAACATAAGCATTAAGCAATATTAGACTAACAAATGTTGTGTACTGTACTAATAATTGAGATGGAATCGGGAGTGAAATTGAGCTCCTCCCTGATTGACGTAATTCCTCTTGAAATTTTTATTACGTATAAATTAGCCTCCGACTATTGATTTCAAGCTTCATTATCAGAACTAATAAATTGTCTAAATTTACTATACAGCATTATAAGTTTTACTTGTTGCTCTGCCCGTGCTTCGCTACAGGGTGAGAATGCAGAAAAGAATAATTTGGTTTTACTATAAGATATACTATAATATACTTTAAGAAACAGTTACAACACACTTACCAGGAAACATATAGGCAAAGGCTCAATCGTGCTTATTGATTATTTAAATGAAGATCTCTTAATGTATTACTATAACTTTATATAGTGTAATGCAAAATATATGCAAAATAATAATTTACTAGTGTACATGTTGCTCGAATTCGAGCAATTGTAAAGTATTACAGGATTGGCAAACCAATAAGAATCATACTTAGCTATCAACATTTCAACAAAAACACACCTATCTTCCCTGTAGCAGCAAACCTAAGTACTCATATTAAAATTAACTTAATGTTATTTAAATAGGAAAAATGACCATTTTAAGGGAATAATTAATCTTTGTATTAATTAAGCCAGGTAAATGGAAATTCGCTTAGTCTGAAGGTTTGCTGCAGATACACAATTTTAATAACAGCAAAAATTGAAGAATCTGAATTATTACTTATATCCACGAATTTATCTAACAATTATTTCCTGTAAAATGTTATTACAGCAGTTCAACAATATTGAAACTAACTCGATCAACAAATGATGTTGAAAGAATTCCATACTAATGACATTAACATATAGTTTGACAGTTCAATTTAATGAATGTTAAATGTTTACGTTCGGGCATAGACAAAAATGATTCGGGCGAGTGACATATTTGATTAATGTTTATGATCCCTACCGTTCCTGTTCTAATAATCACGCAGTATTTAATATGTTTGAACCAGCTGTGTGGAATTGTGAAATCAAAATTAATTTGACAGTTCTGCTTGTTTACATTTTTAAATTTTGTGGGTTTGTTCTTTGTTACCATGGATACCATAAATAAATATTTCACTCTTAATTTCTGACAACAGCTGGAGTTCCATAACAAATTTTGTTTTCCATGTTAATCTTATGGATAAATACAAAACTTTAAAGGGCCCCAGGGCCTCACTCTCTAATTATTTCCTTAAAAAGAAAGTTTCCTGCACAACTTCACGTTACGCTCTTTCCAATGACACCAAAAACATGTTAATTGGTTCAGTAGTTTCGGAGGAGTAATTGTCACAAAAAACCTGCTTGCGTATTAAATAAGTAATAGATTGAACACGTGGCACCAAGAAACAATTCTCCTTGTAAACAAATTAAATTAAATAGCAGAACAGCATTTCTGACAACAGCTGGAGTTTCATAACAATGTTTGTTTCCCATGAAGAAGTGTCTACTTTGCCTTGAATTAGGCCTAGCGCCTGTTTAAAATTTTTTTGGCTTTTCAAAGATGAACATAGGCCTAGCCTATAGCCTAATGTTTTAACACATATTTATATCGGGCTTACGTCTGATAGGCCTACGTTATTTCTTAACCTAACTTGAATTTTTCTTGTGAACCTGTTGGCTACCCACACAATTTGTCTGCAAAATGCCTATTTCAGAAAAGGCCAAACTTGAATTGAAATCTCAAATTGATGTCCTTTGTTTTAAAAAGGAAAACTTGAGCAAAAAAATAGATACTGTTTACACGCTAAGCCAAGAAGTAGATTTAAGCCAAGAATCACCAAATTTCTCTACATTTGAGGTTAGGCTACATAACCTTGACTCACATTATGAAGCCTACTCCAAGTGCATTAATGAAATAATTAAGTTAAGTAAACTTGCTGAGATAACTGTTGACGTAAATGAGTTGCAAAAATCACTTGAAGGTATTGATGAGAAATACTATGCAATTTTGTCAGTGAAAAGCAAACTAGGCTTCAATCCAAACACTCCTGAACCGGAGCCAGCGGCTTCGACTTCAGTTCACAATTTGAATTTACCGAGAATAAGTCTGCCAGTTTTTGATGGTACTTTGCGGGATTGGCCAGGTTTTAAAGACACCTTTTTATCTCTTATCCACGACCAAAGTGGACTTTCAAATATTCAGAAATTTCTTATTTATTGTCCTCCACAAAAAATGAGGCTCTTTCATTAGCTAGAACGTTGCCTGTAACTAATGATAACTATTCAATCATTTGGAAGAAACTTTTGGACAGGTATGACAACAAGCGTGTACTTGCCAATTTTTACATTGATGAAGTGCTGAATTTACCATGTCTCACTAGTGAGAACCCTAACGCTTTGCGACATATGATCGACACAGTATCTGAAAATAGGCTAGCACTTAAGAACTTGAAATCAGACAACATTGATGATTTTATTTTAGTTCATTTGACTTTGAAAAAGTTAGATAAGAGATCCCGCCAATTGTTTGAAGAAAGTTGTCCCAAAACAGATCTGCCAACCTTTGATAAACTTTTAGAATTTTTGAACAATCACTGCCATGCAGTAGAAATAGCTAGTGAGTCATCTATTACTAAGCCTAATGTAGCCTATAAGCTTAGTGACAAATATTTGCCAAAATCTAGTCAAATATCGAGACTACAGCCTAAAAGGGCAGAGTTGTCCCGGCAAGCATTTTTATCCGCTTTTGACACTTCTGGGAATAAACCTACTTGCCTTTATTGTTCGGATATGCACAACCTTTACAAATGTCCGACCTTTTTAAAACTGAACTCAGTGCAGAGGCGTGAGTTTGTTAGATCCAAGGAAGCTTGTTTTAATTGCTTATCTAGTCAACATATGCGTAAACAATGTCGTTCAAAATCAAGTTGTCGTAAATGCGCACAGCGGCATCACACTTTGGTACATGTGGATACTACTCCCGAGTCTCAACTTTCTTCTGTACATAGGCCTAGAAGCTCTGCTGGTGAGGTTGTCACTCAAGACAATGAAATCAAAACCAGTTGTACGTCTCAAATTGTTATGTCTACTGAAACCTTGTCTTATGTAATGTTGGGCACTGTTCAACTTTTAGCTCAGAATGTAGCTGGACAATTTGTTAAAATTAGAGGTCTAATTGATCCAGGTTCACAAATATCATGCATTTCTGAAACATACGTTCAAAAACTTTGTTTGCCTCGCATCAAGTACAATGTACCAATCACTGGTTTGTCCCAGGTGCCAATTTCAAAACCTAAAGGAGTTGTAAAGTGCGTTTTGAAATCACCTCATAGTGATGACCTTGAAGTAGTCACTACTGCTGTTGTACTTAATCGTATCACAAATCATCTTCCTTCTCGAAAGCTGAAATCATGTGTTCGAGAACATTTTCATCACATCCAGTTAGCGGATAACAACTTTGACATCCCTTCGCCAATTGAATTTTTGCTTGGCGCTGATATTTTCCCCCAAGTTTTTGATGGAGGAAAACTTTTTATTGCTGATGGTTTACCCTCTGCATTTCACAGTATTTTTGGATGGGTTTTGTTAGGCTCAGTTGATTCAAAGTATTTTGAACATTTCAACCCGTCAAGCGCATTGCCTGTCATGTCCAACTTATGTCTTCTTGCATCACAATCAACACTTGATGAAAGTTTAAGGAAGTTTTGGGAAACTGAAGAAACTCCTTCAAAACCAGCGTTAAGCCCTGATGATCAATTTTGTGAAGATCATTTTCAGCAAACCCATACCCGTGACAGTAGCGGACGGTATGTTGTCAAACTGCCCTTTAAAGAAGACCCGCCTACTTTAGGAGAATCATTTCAACCTGCTCTGCGTAGACTATATTCTTTGGAACGGAAACTTCACAAATCTTCAGATTTAACTTCAGTCTGTTGTAAATTCATGACAGAGTATGAAACTTTGGGACATATGACACTGTTATCTCCCGATGACACATCTTCTAAATACTTCATCCCACATCATGGTATTTTTAAAGATGAAACACAGCCTAATAAATTCAGAACAGTTTTCGATGGATCGGCTCAATCCTCAAACGGGAAATCACTTAATGACGTCCTTCATGTCGGACCTAAGCTCCAAAAGGACATAACTGATATTATTTGTCGCTTTCGCTTTCATGAGATAGTCTTCACTGCTGATATCTGCAAGATGTACCGCCAGATTTTAGTACATCATGAACATCAACCTTACCAAGTAATTTTATGGCGATCATCCCTCGATAAGCCTGTAAACAAATATGCTTTGCAAACTGTCACTTATGGACTTTCATGTTACTTGATACTTGATGTGTTGCCACTGGAAGCGCTGCTGCGCCGTGGACGTCAGTTTTTTTTTTCTTTTTTTTTTTTTTTCTTTTTTTTTCTTTTCTATGGATTTAACATAAAGTCTTCAATTTTATATAACGGGGATTCCGTTAATATATTCTTCAATTTTTCTTTGAAGGATTCCATCGAAGGTTCTTCCTTTATCTCATTTGGTAGTCTATTAAAAATTGTTACACACTGATAGTGAGGGCTATTTCTTGCTAAAGTTGAATTTATCTGAGGTACATGTAAATTTTTCTTCTGTCTCGTATTAATGTTATGGACGTTGTAATTTTGAATAAAGCATTGGGGAGATTTCTTAACTGTTACTGCTGCTTCAAATATGTAAAGAGACGGTAAGGTTAAAATTTGCAGTGATTTAAAAAAAGGTGCACATGGT